GGGAGCACCCGGGGGGCGTTCCGCGGGGGGGGGGGGGGGGGGGGGGGGAACGGTAACGATATCGATCGACCTTATTTCAGTTCCCTCATGAAGAACAGCATAGGATGGGGTCTGACGAAGAATCCAGGAGAGGAAAAAGGGCAGCTGTTACGTACGTTCATGTTACCGTAGACTGAAGATGATTTTCGTTGAGAGGTGAAATCATCCCCGAGCGGAATCTGTTGTCGTTTTTATCCATTTATAACTTCATGATTTTTATGATTTACAAAGAGGTAGATTTTTCTTAAACTTGAATGACATGTTTTATACTCAAAAGGGCTTCTTTTATTAAAATCATTTCCCTTTATGAATATATCGACTGATATTGATTGAATTTATAGAGTTTCCTCGAAAAGCAGACGTACCTCCCTCAAAGACACCACTCCGACTAGACGACCGAGCTTTGTCACATATGCTCGCCGGAGACCCAGCAATGAGAACACCGAATGAATCTGAACACAGCGATTTTAGTTACTTTTTTTGAAATCGTGTAAGCAAAAAAGGCGGAAAAACGCGGAAAAAAACCAATGAATTTTTTTCTCGCCTTAGCTCCGTGCTCATGAACAAAAGCGCTGGCCATGACCGCGGAGCAAACAGTTTTACATTTCTCAGCCACTAGTGAAGAGAGATTGTGTAGAGGAAGATTGAACATGAAAAGAGAAAAAGTTACAATGTCTACCTTGAAAATTGAAGTGTTCTCGACTAGCTGGAACGGTGCCGAATCGATATGAATCGCTTGCAGATCCAGCGAACATGACAATTGCTCGGCTTCCCAAGTAGCACGCTGGAAATCCACGGTGTTTCAAGTTTTGATGGCATTGAAATTCAGCATAATTAGTGTTTCAAAAATGGCTCTTATTGCTAACTATTCACTGTATAAAATCGAAATGTAAGTGGATTTATATTGACTCCAAAACACCGACTTCCCTCAGAAAGTTCGAGTACAGATTCAATGTTCTCAAGATGTTCTAGAAGAATAACCAAGTCATTCAATTGCTCGAGTTTTCGTTTTATAGGTATGCTAGTATCCAATATCTTATACGTGATGCTTAGAATCTATGTATTTATTATTTACTTATTGTTTATTTACTGTTAATATCTATTATGAGACTGACTTATAAAGAAGACGTCAAGGTGGGTCATGTAAACAAGCCCAGGTTAGCCGAAGATGAGAGAGCAGTGCCTGTGTGTGTATGAGCACGACGGAGAAGAACAGAGGACGACCCAAGAATAGAGGCAACGAAAGCCCAAGGTAGGCGAACACGAGCAGCTTTAAGGGAGAGGTGGCAGGACGTGATCAAGAGGACCACGTCAAAAACAATGTGTCAGCTGAAGATGCTGTAGAGAGAATAAAATGGCGACAACTGGCGAGATTAAGGACCCTGCGAGGTCAACCCCAGAGTAGGAAGATAATCTGGTGTGGGACTATAGAGGAGCTCAGAGCCTTCACTGAGTGGGATAATCTATCCAGTGTAAGTGAGGAACTGAATGATCATGGCCATCGTCATACTATGATGGATTACATGCCCGAAAATAGGAGGTGGGCGTGACCTGAAACTCGATCAGCTGAAGCCCGATAAGCGACTTCACTTATGAAGATTTTAAACAGTAACCTATATCTGCCTTGGAGAAGAGCAGGACGCAGTATCGCAGGACGCAGTACCCGAAACAAAAGTTTCCTTTACCTCCGACAGTTCCACCAATCGATCCCATAAAAGAATCAGGTAGTTTAGATTAACTTTACTTCCTACGCTTCCAGTTCCTCAACTTCCTCTGGAGTTTAATAAAGTACTTTTTGGAGGAAAGAGACCCTTACTTCTTCTCCGGTAAGGTCCACGGCGTCTTTTTTACTCCTGGAAACCAATCGACTCATAGATCGTCTCAAGACACCTATAAAATAGATCTGTTTACCTGAAAAGTTTAACGATACTTGACAGAGATCTGTCGGATTCGAGTTTCCGCTCAAACCCCGCCTCCTGTGGGCGGAGTCTGGTCCTCCCACCCACCATGAGTGTTCCCATTCTGTCGCCTGTTCTCCTACCAAGTTTGAACTTTCTAGGTCCACGGGGACAGGATCTGTGAGTTCCCGTTCAAAAACCCCGGCCGCACCCCAGTTTGAGTCGAAGGCCAGGGTGCATCCCTCTGACGGGATGGATTTACGCCCCTAACTTACAATTATTTAGTAGGACCACTCGGCAAAATGTTGGAACCGTTCCAGAGCACGAGCCCAGGACGAAGGCTCTCATAGTTTAAAGAAAACAGAGAGCTTCACAGCAACCGGGAAATCAAAAAGGTCCATGAAATACGAGGTGATCGGTAGGTAACTGCAACATACCGCTCAACGAATCCCTGTGAGAGGCGTTCCTCTGAATGGGATGAGGTGACGACATTGCTGGTAATCCTTCCCTATCGGTTTTAGCAGCCGTTCGATCACTGTCTCTGAAAGCCGTTGATTTCAATACCTGGCATTCAATTTTAATACTTGAAAAGATTTTAAGAGATTTATTTTGTAAAATTCAATGATACCATACGACAACTTGGAGCCTTGTTGGATAACTCCAAGTTGGTTGTATACGTAATGTTATTTTTGTTAGTTTTATCACTGATGTTTGCAGAAATGGAATTCGCATGCACGAGTTAATAAATAAATGAATAAATAAATAAATAAATAAATAAATCGTGCTCTCAGTGTACTGGTTAAGCAAAGTTGTAATACCTTCTCTGTGTACCAACGGTCACTCCATGCAACAGCCGCAAACATTCGCTGCTTCGACGAGATCGCTGTCTACATCTTTGTTTTCTAGCGAAAGATGGCGGAAGGTGAATAGATGAAAATCTGGAAGCAACAAAAATATATATTTATTTATTTCATACGCTATAAAAGACAGCGTGAGAAAAAAAGATTTAGAAAAAAATTTTAAAAAAATTTACTTTAGTGATTCTTCACAGTGCCTAATACAACATGCGTCTCTTAACAATTAAGGGCACAGTTCACAAGAGTTTAGAGATGATCCTTTTTAGTCGAAAAACGGAAGTATATGTTGAAAGTAGTTTATCAGTGATGAAAAAAGCGAGAAAATTCGTCGATTCCGAGATAAATAAGGCTCCGAGTTTGGAAGAGATTATCATAACGGAAATAATTTAGGAGGGGTATTTGGATGAATTCCGATCGTTGCAATTGCGCAAAAAGCTGATCGCATCAGGCCAAAACTGTCCAGAATTGCCTTTTACTGCGCTATTGGTCATGACAAGTTGTTTGAACTTCTTTCATGGGTTCCCTTAAGATCGACCCTATAA